ACAGCCCGTGAATATAGTAATCATCCAAATCACACTAACACGAAAGATTTTTTAGCCATCACCCTACCCTCATTTCCACAGTATACCTTGAACACCCCTAACGACACTAACGACACACGTAGTTTTGTAGATGAACAAGTTTTAATGCCTACACTTCATTGGACATCATATTATCATTTTACTAACCCCCTTTGCCTACCTTTATCTAATACTCACATCGATATAGAAAGAAATAAAGATATGCTATATCGACTCACCACACCACTAACACATAGACAATTTACTTACATCGGATATAAAAAATCACTAAAAACATACACTGCACCCCGAGCTAACGAATATACGCTAGAATATTACGATCATAACATCATCCGAACTAACCAAGATCAATTTTTAGATGATGATCGCTTCGCTAACCCACAAATCACAGAAAAATTTTTCATCGAAACACCATATGTATTTACACTCAATATATTTGATCGCAAATTCGATCACATCATTTCTGAAGCACTAACCGACACACAATCTTACGAAAGTTTTAAAGAAAAATTTCAATTATTTTCACTAACCTTTCATTTCCCTGCACCACATGAAAAAGATTTGCACTGCTCACACGATATTATGTTACGCACTAAACAAACCCACACATACACATATTATCGCTTCATACAAAATCACTTTGACCTACACACTCCATCAAGACAACCACACCATCGTTTTCAATTTATTAACTCTAAATACACATCACATTTTTTCTTAACTTCACATATTGCATCAAAGATACTAACCTTCACGGTATTCTTCGCAATTATGATCCCATAACCCAAATGTATATTTTTTGTCCCATCACAAAGACCTTCAACGCAGAAGAATCCAGACCCTTCCTTATCCCACATGAATTTGTTCAACCTATAGAAATCCCCATATTAGAATTCATCCACAACACTAAATATAACCACAAATTATATAATCTCATCCAAAACACACCTTATGAGTTTGCAGTTGGCACTGAAGAACTAAAAACCATTAAAGCACTTCAATTGCTTTGGCCACTGCTTCAAACTAAAAACATCATTCGCATACTAGCAAAGTTACTAACAAATTCCGACATAATCCACGACATCTTCCCCCACGGTTTTTTCCCCGACGACTAACAGGTAAGTATAATTTATATATATTCTAAACTAATAAATTTAAAATAAAAAAACTAACCATTCTTTATCCATGTCTCATTTTGATTTTTAGTCTCCATCTCACGATTATCTGCAAAATACACAAAAGAAAAATAAAAAATAGAAAACTTCTTCAAATTGTTCAAAACTCTAATAATCTTTTGCACCAGCTAAATTAAATAAAGTTCATACAAATGTAGAAAATTAATTTATAAATTATTTCCCTAAAAAGCAGTAATTCTAATAATGATGAAAATTTGTAACTTAATTTTTCCCCAAAACTAGCAGTAAAATTGAAATTCTATGTAGTAAATTGATAAAACGCAAATGCAGTACAAACCTTTTGATATTTTCATTCACTCGCACAAAGAATTCTATCCAAACTCGCACAGCTCGCCCACGAAGAATTGTTTAAATAATGAATTTCAGTTTTAAGTTTTCACACTCAACAACTCTAGCACACGATAACAAGTTTCAAATTTTCCTTTAACCCGGTTGGAAAGGAATTACATACTAAACAAAACTAACCAATACAGCTTACTAAACACCACAACACATAGAATAACAGCATGACTAAGAAAAGGAAACCAACGGTACCCAAACCGGATTAACCCAGTTTAAAACTGGATAATTTATTCTTTTGAAGACTATTATAAAGTCTAAGAAAAAAATAATAAAACACAAAAAAGTCGAAAGACAAACCCATACCAAAAACAATTTGATTTTTGAAAAAAGGACACAACCAACGAAACATAAGAAAAACCACAATAAACTCAACATAAAACGTTATCACATAACAGGACCTCTCACAGAAACCGCACGAAATCATACTCCCACTCCTGGCCTAACCCACCAGAGAGGACGTCCTGAGCATGCTCTATAGCCGGCCTAACCCACCGCGCTACATCCACGCTTTGTGACCATACTTCTATTTTTAATAAGAGGTACTCAAGGGTGAGTAACTCTTCAAAATAACTGAACTAAAACAAAAAGCTTTTGTGAAAACAACTAACCAAAATCATAATTAAAACACCAAACTAATAAAAATTTTATAAAATGTAAATTATATCTTGCAGTATATAGATCAGCATACAACACCAAAGACGAACATCCAAAGAAAAAATGAACCCACTACACTCGAAAAAGAATGGTCAACCACAATCAATATGCCGCCCACAACCACAACTCAAAGGATTTAGAGTACGACTTGACTTCGCAGAAAAGGACTTCATTGAACTAGAACAATGACCACCTCGATGTTCAAGTATACGTACAGATCCGAGTAACCAGGCATCCCCTCCACGCACAATCTCCACGCCATTCCCAGACAAGGTCAACCCAAAAGAAGTTCTCTACAAGAAACGAAAAAACCTGTCATAGCCAACCATTCTGAAATCAGATTTGAGTTTGTTGCGAAAACCCAGTCGTTGTCATGAGAAGACACAGCGATTGAACCTGGAACTTCTCTAACAAGAGAACCCAGAAGAATTATGATGTTCGCCAAATACCAACGTCCATCATCCATCCTTCGAATTGCAGAAAGACTATTCTAAAAAACTCTGTAAAACCCGGATGGGTGGAACCTGATCTAAACTACATTTTATGATTGGATAAATTAGATATTTTACCACTGTAAAGTATTTAATATTAACCAATCATGATCCATCTAACTAACAACCCACTTATTTGTAAGTGCTGGAATTACTTGTAATTTCAGCACCAGAGAGATTTGATTTTAACTTAGAAATTAGTTGACTCTCCAAGAAGACTTCAGCAGCCGCAATAAACCAGTATACCCTAGATCTATTGAGCCTAGCAGAGACTAGTTAAACAACCTGAGACTAGATAGTATAAGAGTAAGATTAGGATCGGTATTAGACTAAGAAGTTGCACGAATCTATCCGGCCGAAAATAAGATAGCGTGACGAGCAGACGGTGTACCCTATCCGAAATTACTCTATGAGTTAACCACCTCGGTCTTAACTCAAAAACTTTAATTATTCCGAATGCCGTATTTGTAAAAAAAGATACTTTTTGTTAAAAAATACTAAAACAAAATTTTCAACCTTTTTTTCTGTGGAACTTTTTTATGAAACGCCATAAAATAGCAGAATCGGTTAAAAATAGACAATAGAAAACTTGAAACTCCTACAGAGAAAAACAACTGCTCCAATTTGATCGAAACTGATTGATTTAAATGTTTATCGTTCAATTGCACTAATGCTGCAACATAATTTTATTCACAGTATGATTTTTTGTCTTAAAATTGTCTTGCTACTGAGCGTTAAAAAAATCTGTTATAAACTTTTCAATTTGTTTTGCGAACCTCGAGCCAAAAACGGATAATTTTGGGCTGTTTAGTCAAAAAACTGACCCAAAGCTAGAAAATCTATTTTTGTCAAGTTTATATCAAAGTGAATCTCTATTTCTTTTGAAAGACTTGACAAATTTCAAACAGAAATATGCATGAAATTGATATTGTTTTGAAAAAATGGCGCGAAGTTAGAAGTTGTTTAAAACTCAATATAGACTTATATAGACAATAAAACTCATTATAAACTCAACTTAGAAGAAGCTTTTGATGTGCAAGTTGGGTCTTAATTTAAAACCTTGGGTTAGAACCATTCCAAGATACTTGGTAGAAATCTGCTATTGGTCTTATCAATTTGCCTCAATATCGAAGTGGATACACCACGTCGAAAACTACTTTATTCGCTCACCAAACCTTATTGCTGGACTGGTCCCCGAACTCCGGACTAGACCCTGGAGTTAAGATTCAACCAAAAAGAAGTCAAAACCGGCAGCTTACAAGGAACCCAACGCTTCTGGCTTCAAAATGCTGACTACATTTCTCATCATGGGCCCTAGAAATCAACAGCTTCATCCGTTGCTTCCACTTCTGAGCCGATAAACCTAAGCCATCAACTTTTGAGCCGCCCATACCTCGAATTTCGAATCTCTTAGAGCCAAATATTTGTTGAGCCACCACAAAAAAACAGAACATTTTTTATGGATCAGTTTCAAGGCTGTGCTAAATCAGCAAGTTATAAAACTCGGCATCTCCAACTATCATTTGTTGGAGTTGGTCAGGAAAAATAAATTTCCCCCGTTGTACATCCCGAAAAAGTCCTCACAGTAAATCTGGTCATTCAAATTTGTGACAGATCAGGAAAACAAGAAACACGAATTATTGGTCCTCAGTATCTGAACAGATAATATTTCCTGACTTAATGATCCATAATCCCAGAGCGACTGTAAAGCAGCTTCTGCTTCTGCTTCTGCTTCACCGAAGTGGAAGAAATGAAGAATGCTGGGGATAAGCCGTACAAGAATTTTACTGTTCTGTTAAACTATCTGGATGTACATCAGAAGACACCTCATCACAAGAAACACTTCCCATGTTATTATAAATAGTTGTCCTTGTCACTTAATTTCGCAATCACTCCACCCTCCCCCCCCAGCCTGTTTTTCTTAAAGAATAAAAGTACTCATGTAGCCAGATTTCAACTATTTCATGCTTAGAACCAAGTTGTACCCGGTTCCACGAAGCGATCTCTGAAATTGATTACCCGGATTCCACTTTTTGCAATTAATGGGACTCCCGAAAACTTCCCGCACTCCCCCTCAAAATAAGCTTATTACGCTTAATGACATTCTGGACGCCCAAAATTTGCAATAAAGGGCAAAAATTGCATAAAACTTAGAAAAAACGCACTCCCTTACAAAAGTGCTTATTTGGGGCGTTCAGGATGTAACTTTTTTGATGGGGCGACGAATAGCGTCATGAAAACATCTTTTTCTCATATATTTGAAGAAAAAAATACTTACACAGTAATTGACAGCCTCACAAGCCTCGATTCCAATGCAGTAAACGACACATGAATCAATGTTATAGGCATAATACTCGAATAAAGGGTCAATATCGTACGCTTTGAGGCATGGACACTCTTCTCGAAAAAGAGAAAGGTCGACCTGGTTTGTCTGAATCAACTTGAAGTTCAGCAAAAGATGAAATATGTGTGCGATTTTCATTTATCCGAATTGTAATGCAGAATGCAAATCCGAATGCCAGCAATGTTTATGAATCCGAGTGAAAGCAATTTTGTTCAAGTATTTTTGAATTTTTAATTCTTTTTTTATCGATAAAAAATATCTTAGAAGGATTTAATTATTCAAATGCGCGGAGGATTAATGAATTTGCGTACACAATTTCTTTTATGTCAGACATCTGCGCGGAAACAATTTTGCTACAAAAAATCAAGCAATTCAACTCTCCTAATTAATTCCAAAACCATGTTTTTTCCTTCCTGCGGAAACTCACTGTTGAATTTCAGCTGGAAAATTTTAAAATTAATAATGAACTCAGCAAAACAAGACATCAATGGTTAAAATGTTGTACGTGTTGTCTACAATTTTGTCAGTGGAATCAATGCTTAAACTATAATAAAAAAGGGCTTTCTAGAGTTATTCACGTTTTTTTAATCGCATTTTTGACAATTTTTTCAACCGTCTGCAACTTTTTGATGTCTCGCATTATTTACATCAGTTTGATTTATTATATTCAATGTAGACCCAAAACTCAAACTGTCGCAATTTCCTGTCAAAATTTTACGTCTTTTTTTAAAAATTCTGTTCTTAAGACATCATCAGTGAGATTATGAAGATCGAAAACTTTTCATCAAAAAACAAATTTGAAAACTTGAAAATTGACTGGAGAAAAAAACATTGCGAGCTAACAAAATTCGTTACTCTTTAAAGTTAACAAAATTTGAACATTGATTTCTATCACTTGTACTGATGAGTTTTCAATATATTGAAAACTCATCAGTACAAGTGATAGAAATCAATGTTCAAATTTTGTTAACTTTAAAGAGTATTTTTCTCAAGCATTTCTGACAAAATATAGAATATGGCTTTTGAAGAAATCTGTTTTACCTCCAATTGTTCAAAATCATCTTATTGTAAATGACATCTGTTTATAATTTCAACCAAATTTGGCAAGAAAGTAAGCTCCGCTTAAAAATTCCATTACAATGTCTTTTACTTTGTAAAACCATGAATTACAGTGGTCAAACTTTTAATTCAGCTGTTATATCTTAAAAACAAAAAATCAGAATACATGATAAAACTTATAAATAAATATATAATTTTTTTAAATGGGCTTGCTGTTGTTTTCCAAACTTGTTGTTTGACTCCTATGCTTTCTTTCAGGCGTAAAAACAGCCATTTTGTTCCAAAGTTTGACAAAATTGACGGATAATATATATTTGGCTTGTTTTTTTATTCAGACCAACCTCGAAATGTAATTGAAGTATTTTGGCAAAAAAAAATAAAGATGTCAATGCCTAAAATTTTTAAATAAAAAGAAATTTGATTTGATTAATTTCAATTAAAATCATGACCATTCAAAAATGGGAGTATTTAATCCAGTTGGGATATTTAGAGCGTAATAAATTTCCAGCTTCTTAGCGTTTTACAAATGCGGCGCAGAACAATATCCTATAATTCATTACAAAATGTTGGGGCGGACTAAATGTTCCGACTTTCGATACGAAAGTAACGGAATATTTGTGCTCGGGGTGGGTTTTTTTTCATCTGACAAATTTCGACTTTTTAACTAGACATTTTTGACGATTTTTTTATATCATTCAAAAGCTATTGTTGTCCTGAGCTCAAATTTGAAAAGATATTTCACCTGTGATCATTTTTCGTAAAGTTACGAGGATTTAAAGATTGGTATTTTGGCCAACTTGGGACAATTAACGCGCGATATAATTCGCGCTATTAACACCAAAGCGGAGAGTTAATCCGTCTTAGAAATCTTTCAAAATTGGTCGAAAGAAGCTTATTGGCCATAATTGATTTGTTACAAGGTGCGAAATCTATCCTTTTGCACTTTGTCGTGTGGGGGGATGATTTTCATTAAAAATTTCAAAGTTTAAAAAAAAATTCTTTTTGTTTTATTACATTTGTCTTTTTAATGTTATTACTGCCCCCATAAACCTTAAAAAGCAGTCAGAACATTCAGGGCTTCGCCCTGATACGAGCAGTCTTGTTTCTCCATTTTTTGACATAATAGATAAGAAATGCGTCATTTTGAACGTTTCATTGAATTTGGAGAGAAGATTTTGAAAACGCAGAAAAAAATAGACATTTTGTTTCACACACACACAAGAAAATTTAGAAAAATCAGGGCTTCGCTATAATACGAGTAGTGTTGTTCTCCTACAGTCATACAGCTTGTATCTTATATCTAAAATCTATGACAAGTATATTTTGGTTAAATTATTTTAAAGTTTTTTTTTGCGTGAGCTTAGATATTTTCATTCAATTCAATCTTGGAAGAAATTTGTCTAAATACCGGGCTTAGGAAAATGGTGATTGTCATATTTTTAAAGGCTCTAAATCCATTGATATAGTCATATCGCTGCTGGTCATTTAGGTTTTGCATTCTTACGATTGCCTGAATCAACTTGCCTCAGTTATAAAAAATTGTCCAAATGGCGTTCTTTTAGGTATTACGTAGTTGGAAAACTAAATTTAGCCTGCTAAAGTCAATTTCTTTTTTTCCTTATTAGTAATAAAAACAATATCTGTGAAACGAGTTTAACAAAGCTGCTCGAAATACTTTGATGTTGAGGGGTGTAATGCGCGTTTCTTATGAAATATCCAGCATCATGTGGTATTATCAGCTTAAAATTCATCGTTTTCTCAAAATTTTATGAGCTAAAAAAATTTTGAGACTAGTTAATGGGCAGTTGGAGAACCTTCAGGGCTCTAGTGCGTTTTTGTCTAATTCTCGAGCTGAACAAATACCCACTTCAACAGAAAACGTCGGAAAAAGTGGTGTCAACGTGCCTAAAATTCTGTTTGCCGAACGTCAAAGTAATTTTTTAATAGATTGACTGCATTTTTTGAACCCATTAAGCTATTTCGTTTGTTTCTATTGTCTTTAACTGAATTGAGAATTTCTGAATTGTGTCTTGAGTGAAATAAAAAAAAACATGCAAAATGGGGTACTGCGAGGATAAAAATACCAAGACTAAATGGTTGATAGCACTCATGCATAAGTCCATCAGTTAAACAAAAAGTTAAAAGAGAAACTTTGAAAAAAAAATTTCAAATGAAATAATTGACAAAGCTAACAAAAAGCTAGGGCAGCTTCAACCGAAAGTTTTCTTCAAAGTTTTGCAAGGCTTACTTCATTTGCTCATAATTTCAAAGTGCAAACAGCCTAACTTCAATTCACTAAGAGCTATTAGCTTCGCTTTAAAAAAATTTAGCTAAAACTGGCGTTTATCTTTTAAAATGCCTAATTTTTCATCAAATACATTTAAAATCATACAAAAGAGAGTACTATTAGTGGCAAGGATTGAGTGGCAAGGATTGAGCTGTTATATTTGGTGGAGATAATGGTAGTGAATGATGAACTAGATTACTTAGTTTTACTGTTATTTCGAATTTAGGGTGTTAAATTGTCTTGATTAAGTATTTGTGTATTATGGTCCTGTATATCTTTGTGGATGTTGTGTCTATTTTGTAATCGGTTTAGTGCCAAATCATGCAGTCGATTACTATCGAGGTTTTGGCCAAAAAGGGTAGGGATGCTATAAATGTATTCCAATCTAGTCGTAAAGGTATAGTAGTACTTAGAAGTTCAAAATATCGATCTTCTAAATTATCAGGGAAATTTACAGGAAACGTAGTGGTTGGTGTTTGACCTGATACTGAAGGTGTTGATGGGAATGATAGAGTTTCTGGCAAGAATAAAGAGGGGTCTGATGAAATATCTATGGGTGCGTTCACTAAATTTGGTTCACCTTGGAAAAAGACTTGTGTCATCCAATGTGGAAGACGTTGTGGTGAGGTGGAGGATTAAAAGGATTTTCACGAATTTGTACGGAAGTTGGTGTTGAACCTAAATAGTCGGATGGAATGTTGGGCTTATTTTGTTGGGAAGTTGTCTGAAGTGATAGGCGGTGCTTTGGATTGTGTTACTAGAAAGATCTAAAGGGGTCGAGGATGGTGATAAGAGTATATTAAAATGAAAAAATCCTTTGTTGAAAAAAAATTTGAAAATTTGAAAGTAGAGTTAAAAAGAATATTTCAAGGTCGTTCGAAAAAAAATATTTGAAAAGTGATTTGTTTTGTCGAAGTATTTGTCATCTTTTGGATTGGAAGCCAATTGTGGTCGAATTGTTTATTTATTTATGACTAATGGGTTGGTTATGGAGTGTTTTTGATGAAGTGAACTCTGGAGGTTTAGTTAATAACTTTCTAGTTTTGTTTTTATTTATTGGGCAATTATGGTTTTTTGAGAGATGTCATGTCTTTAGGAGCTATGGAAATATGGAGTATAAGTTGAGACGATATTGTTGATTTTTTTGTTGAGTGATAGGAGAGGGTTGTAACTTTTATATGATTATTATTTAGGTTGACAATTAAAAAGGTATTGCTTATTTTTGACCTTTGGGTCTTTTAGTTATAGTTATAGATCTATTTGAAGATAGAATTTTGTCGGCTAATAGTAGTGGTGTTGAAATGGGGTGATGTTTTAAACTATTTGAATTTGGATTGACTGATTTTGAACTTGTTAGTTCAAGAGTGAAAATTAAAGATTCTTTGGAAACAATTATCCAATTATAATGAAAATATTTTAGTTAATCAGGGGGGTTTCTGAAATTCTACTTTTAAAAATATTTAAGACTGTGGGATAAGGATTTGATAGTCCTTTCTTGGTTGATTTCTGAGACGCGATAATTAGCGTTGTTGCTATTTTTCTATTTCTTTTGGTGTTAAGATTTTTTCTTATATTTACAATTCATTCTCTGTTTTTGAGCAATTTGTTTTTGAGAATTTTTGGGAGGTTCTTTTTGAATTTTTTCAGTAGTTTTTTTTTACTTGTTTCGGGTGACAATGATAAATGATTTGAATTTTACGTTTTTTGCTGTTTGTTTTTTTTTCTGTGGTTTTTTTAACAGTGTTTAGACCTGTAAAGTAGTATCATTGTGTTGTTCCGCGAAGGGAGTTTTTTTTTGTTGCGGTCAATAAGTTTATGTCACATCTTTCGAAATGGTCCTTTCCGGATAGGTAGTGTTTTTTCAGAAAATACTTTTGGATTATAAAAGTTGGGACTAAAACATATGTTCCTGTTTTTAGGCTGATGCT